GTTATTAGATGAGGTGGTTACTGGAGGTGGGTGATACTAGAGGTGGGGGTTACTGGAAGAGGGGGTTACTGGGGGTGGGGTTACTGTAGGTAGGGGTTACTGGAGGTGGGGGTTACTGGAGGAGGATGTTCTGGAAGTGAGGGTTACTGAAGGAGGAGGTTACTAGAGGTAGGGGTTACTGGACGAGGATGTTACTGGAGGTGGGGGTTACTGGAGGAGGATGTTACTGGAGGTGGGAGTTACTGTAGGAGGAAGTTACTGGAGGTGTGGGTTACTGGAGGAGGATGTTACTGGAGGTGGGTGTTACTGGAGGGGGATGTGACTGGAGGTTGCGGTTACTGGAAGTGGGAGTTACTGGAGGAGGACTTTACTGGAGGTGGGTGTTGCTGGACGAGGATGTTACTGGAGGTGGGGGTTACTGGAGGTGGAGGTTACTGAAGGTGGGGGTAACTGCAGGTAGCGGTTACTGGTTGAGGGGGGTTAGTGGAGGTTGGGGGTTACTGGAGATGGGGGATACAGATGGTGGAGGTTACTAGAGGTAGGGATTAGTGGTGGTGGGGTTACTAGAGTTAGGAGTTACTGGCGGGGATTTCTGGAGGTGGGGATTACTGGAGGCGTGGGTTACTAGAGGTGGGAGTAACAGGAGGAGAAGGGGGTTACTGGAGGTGGTAGTTACTGGAGGTGGGAGTGATTGGAGGAGGAGGTTGCTGGAGGTGTGGTTTACTGGAGGTGGGGGTTACTAGATATAGTGGTTACTGAAGGTGGAGGTTACTGGAGAGGGGAGTTACTTGAGGTGGGGGTTAATAGATGAGGTGGTTACTGGAGGTGGGGGTGACTGGAGGAGGAGATTACAGGAGGTGTGGGTTACGGAAGAAAGAGGTTACTGGAGGTGCGAGTTACTAGATGAGGGGGTTACTGGATGAGCAGGTTACTGAAGGTGGGGGTTACTGGAGAAGTATGTTACTGGAGGTGGAGGTTACTGTAGGTGGGGGTAACTGGAGGAGGAGGTTACTGGAGATATAGGGTTATTAGATGAAGTGGTTACTGGAGGTGTAGGTTACTGGAGGTGGGGGTTAGTGGAGGTGGGGGTTACTGGAGGTGGGGGTTACTGGAGGTGGGAGTTACTGGAGGTGGGAGTTATTGGAGGTGGGGGTTACTGGAGGTGGGGGTTACCGGAGGTGGGGGCTACTAGAGGTGGGGGTTACTGGAAGCGGGGGTTACTGGAGGAGGATGTTGCTGGAGTTAGGGGTTACTGGAGGAGCATGTTACTGGAGGTGCGCGTTACTGGTGGTGGGGGTTACTAGAGGTGTGGGCTACTGAAGGAGGATGTTACTGGAGGTGGGGGTTACTGGAGGAGGAGGTTACTTGAGGTTGGGGTTACTGAAGGAAGATTTTACTGAAGGTGGGGGCTACTGGAGGAGGAGTTTACTGGAGTTAGGTATTACTGGAAGAGGAGGTTACTGGAGGTGATGGTTGCTGGAGGAGGATGTTTTTGGAGGTGGGGGTTACTGGAGGACGAGGTTACTGGAGGTTGTGGTTGCTGGAGGAGGAGGTTACTGGAGGTGGGTGTTTCTTTGAGGAGGATGTTACTGGAGGTGGGGGTTACTGGAGGCGGGGGTTACTGGAAGAGGAGGTTACTGGAGGTGGAGGTTACTGGAGAAGGAGGTTACTGTAGGTTTGGGTTACTGGAGAAAGATGTTACTGGAGGTAAGGATTACTGGAGGAGCATATTACTGGAGGTGTGGGTTGTTGGAGGGGGATGTTACTGGAGTTAGGGAATACTGGAGGAGGATGTTACTGGATGTGGGAATTACTGGAGGGGGAGGTTATTGGAGGTGAGGGTCACTGGAGGAGGATGTTGCAGGAGGTGTGGGTTACTGAGGTGGGGGTTACTGGAGGAGGAGGTTACTGGAGGTGGGGGTCACTGGAGGAGGATGATACAGGATATGGGGGTTACTAGAGGTGGGGGTTACTTGAGGTGGGGGCTACCGAAAGAGGATGTTACTGGAGGTGGGGGTTACTGGAGGAGGAGGTTGCTGGAGGTGGGGGTTCTTGGTGGAAGATGTTACTGGAGGTGGGGGTTACTGGAGGAGGATGCTACTGGAGGTGGAGGTTACTGAAGGAGAAGATTGCTGGAGGTGGTGGTTGCTGGAGGAGGATGTTATTCGAAGTGGGGTTTACTGGAGGACGAGGTTATTGGAGGTGGGGGTTACTGGAGGAGGAGGTTGCTGCAGGTGGGTGTTTCTTTGAGGAGGATGTTACTGGAGGTGGGGTTTTCTGGAGGCGAGGGTTACTGAAGGTGGGGGTTACTGGAGGAGGGGTTACTGGAGATGTGGGTTACTGGAGGTGTGGTTTACTGGAGGATGATATTACTAGAGGTGGGGGTTACTGGAAGAGGAGGATACTGGAGGTGGGGGTTACTGGAGAAGGATATTACTGGCGGTGAGCGTTACTGGAGGAGGAGGTTACTGGAGGTGGTTCTTACTGGAGGAGGATGTTACTGGAGGTGGGGTTACTGGAAGTGAGAGTTACTGGAGGAGGAGGTTACTGGAGGTGGGGGTTAATGGAGGAGTAGGTTACTGGAGGTGGGGGTTACTGGAGGAGGAAGTTACTGGAGTTGGGGTTACTGGAGTATGATGTTACTGGAGGTGGGGGTTACTGGAGAAGGATATTACTGGAGGTGCGCGTTACTGAAGGAGGAGGTTACTGGAGGTGGTTGTTACTGGAGGAGGATGTTACTGGAGGTGGGGTTACTGGAAGTGAGAGTTACTGGAGGAGGAGGTTACTGGAGGTGGGGGTTAATGGAGGAGTAGGTTACTGGAGGTGTGGGTTACTGGAGGAGGAAGTTACTGGAGGTGGGGGTTACTGGAGGTGGGGGTTACTAGAAGTGGGGGTTACAGAAGGAGGATGTTACTGGAGGTGGGGGTTACTGGAGGAGGAGGTTTCTGTAGGTGGGGTTGCTGGAGGAAGATGTTACTGTACGTGGGGGGTTACTGGAGGCGGGTGTTACTGGATGAGGATATTACTGGAGGTGGGGGTTACTGGAGGAGGAGGTTACTGGAGGTGGGGGTTACTTGAGAAGGAGGTTACTGGAGGCGGGGTTACTGGAGGTGGGAGTTACTACAGGAGGAGGTTAATGGGGGTGTGGGTTACTGGAGGAGGAGGTTACTGGATGTAGGGTTACTGGAGGAGCATGTTACTGGAGGTGTGGTTTACTGGTGGTGGGGGTTACTAGAGGTGGGGTCTACTGAAGGAGGATGTTACTGGTGGTGGGGTTACTGGAGGAGGAGATTACTGGAGGTGGGGGTTACTGGAGGAAGATTTTAATGACGGTGGGGTTGCTGGAGGAGGATGTTAATGGAGGTGGGGATTACTGGAGGAGGAGGTTACTGGAGGTGGGGATGACTTGAGGAGGAGGTTATTGGAGGTGGGGGTTACTGGTGGAGGAAGTTACTGGAGGTGGGGGTTGCTGGAGGTGGATGTTATTGGAGGTGGGGGTTACTGGAGGACGAGGTTACTGGAGGTGGGGGTTACTGGAGGAGAAGGTTACTGGAGGTGGGTGTTTCTTTGAGGAGGATATTAATGGAGGTGGGGGTTACTGGAGGCGGGGATTACTGGAGGTGGGGGTTACTGGATTTGGGGGTTACTGGTGGTGGGGGTTACTGGAGGATGATATTACTGGAGGCGGGGATTACTGGAAGAGGACGTTACTGGAGGTGGGGGGTTACTGGAGGAGGATGTTACTGGAGGTAGGGGTTACTGGAAGCGTGGGGTTACTGGAGGAGGAGGTTACTGGAGGTGTGGGTTACTGGAGGAGGGGATTACTGGAGGTAAGGGTTACTGGAGGAGCATGTTACTGGAGGTTGGGGTTGCTGAAGAAGGATGTTACTGGAGGTGGGGGTTACTGGAGGAGGAGGTTGCTGGGGGTGGGGTTTGCTGGAGCACGATGTTATTCGAGGTGGGGGGTTACTGGAGGACGAGGTTACTGGAGGTGGGGGTTACTGGAGGAGGAGTTTACTGGAGGTGGTTGTTTCTTTGAGGAGTATGTTACTGGAGGTGGGGGTTACTGGAAGCGGGGATTACTGAAGGTGGATGTTACTGGAGGTGGGGGTTAATGGAGGATGATATTGCTGGAGGTCGGGGTTACTGGAAGAGGAGGTTACTGGAAGTGCCGGTTGCTGGTGGAGGATGTTACCGGAGGTAGGGGTTACTGGAGGCGGGGAGTTACTGGAGGAGGAGGTTACTGGAGGTGTGGGTTACTGGAGGAGGATGTTACTGGAGGTGGGGGTTACTGGAGGAGGATGTTACTGGAGGTGGTGGTTACTGAAGGAGGAGGTTACTTTAGGTGGTTGCTACTGGAGGAGGATGTTACTGGAAGTGGGGTTACTGGAGGTGGGAGTTACTGGAGGAGGAGGTTACTGGAGGTCGGGGTTATATGAGGAGTAGGTTACTGGAGGTGGGGGTTACTGGAGGAGGAAGATACTTGAGGTGCGGGTTACTGGAGGTGGGGGCTACTGGAGGAGGGAGTTACTGGAGGTGGGTGTTTCTTTGAGGAGGATGTTACTGGAGGTGATGGTTACTGGAGTGGGTGTTACAAGAGGTGGGGTTTGCTGGAGGAGGATGTTACTGGAGGTGGGGGTTACTGGAGGGGGAGGTTACTTGCGGTGGGGTTCACTGGAGGAGGAGGTTACTGGAGGTGGGGGTTTCTAGAGGAGGAGGTTACTGGAGGTTGGGGTTACAGGAGAAGGATGATACTTTTGGTGGGGTTTACTGGAGGTTTGGGTTACTGGAGGTGGGGGCTACTGGAGGTGCAGTTTAATGCTAGAGTACATTTGTTATCAAGGAGAGAGCCTCTTCAAGAAAGCCTCACTGTTAACGATGTTACGGAGGATCGAGCCGTCACATTTGACACATACAGTAATTAATGAATTCGTAGAAGGAGAAGATAATACTATATAATTAATATCCATGTTCCTTAGATCGAGAGTTGTTACACTTACCAAGGTTAGCACTGCCATGAGTGTTCAGGAGCCGCTCTAATTCTTGGGCGTTCCCACTTACGATAGCAGCGATCATGTCACCTGAGAGGAGTACATATGTATTAACATTTAAGCACTGAGAGCAAGGGAACATTGCCTAGACAATATTAACAGAGTGAAAATGATGAAATTCCAATCGTCCTCTTGATATCTCACATTATCAAGGACAAGTTCCCTGATAATGTGAAAAATCATGAAAGCGACTGGAATTTCAATATTTTTTCAGTGGTTATTTTGCACTTAAAAATGTGATTGTTTCCGGTGATATTAATGTAAATGTGACTACAGTGTGCATGTGTACTCCATGAGTACTACAGTGTGCATGTGTACTCCATGAGTACTACAATGTGCATGTGTACTCCATGAGTACTACAGTGTGCATGAGTACTCCATGAGTACTACAGTGTGCATGTGTACTCCATGAGTACTACAGTGTGCATGTGCACTCCATGAGTACTACAGTGTGCATGTGTACTCAATGAGTACTACAGTGTGCATGTGTACTCAATGAGTACTACAGTGTGCATATGTACTCAGTGAATACTACAGTGTGCATGTGTACTCCATCAGTACTACAGTGTGCATGTGTACTCCATGAGTACTGCAGTGTGCATGTGTACTCAATGAGTACTACAGTGTGCATGTGTACTCAATGAGTACTACAGTGTGCATATGTACTCAGTGAATACTACAGTGTGCATGTGTACTCCATGAGTACTACAGTGTGCATGTGTACTCCATGAGTACTGCAGTGTGCATATGTACTCCATGAGTACTACGCTGTGCATGTGTAATCCATGAGTACTACAGTGTGCATGTGTACTCCATGAGTACTACAGTGTGCATGTGTACTCCATGAGAACTACAGTGTGCATGTGTACTCCATGAGTACTACAGTGTGCATGTGTACTCCATGAGTACTGCAGTGTGCATGTGTACTCCATGAGTACTACAGTGTGCATGTGTACTCTATGAGTACTACAGTGTGCATGTGTACTCCATCAGTACTACAGTGTGCATGTGTACTCCATCAGTACTACAGTGTGCATGTGTACTCCATGAGTACTACAGTGTGCATGTGTACTCTATGAGTACTACAGTGTGCATATGTACTCCATGAGTACTACGCTGTGCATGTGTACTCCATGAGTACTACAGTGTGCATGTGTACTCCATGGGTACTACGATGTGCATGTGTACTCCATGAGTACTACAGTGTGCATGTGTACTCCATGGGTACTACGATGTGCATGTGTACTCCATGAGTACTACAATGTGCATGTGTACTCCATGAGTACTAGAGTGTGCACGTGTACTCCATGAGTACTACAGTGTGCATGTGTACTCAATGAGTACTACAGTGTGCATGTGTACTCCATGGGTACTACGATGTGCATGTGTACTCCATGAGTACTACAGTGTGCATGTGTACTCCATGAGTACTACAGTGTGCATGTGTACTCCATGGGTACTACGATGTGCATGTGTACTCCATGAGTACTACAGTGTGCATGTGTACTCAATGAGTACTACAGTGTGCATGTGTACTCCATGAGTACTACGCTGTACATGTGTACTCCATGTGTACTACAATGCACATGTGTACTCCATGTGTACTACACTGTACATGTGTACTCCATGTGTACTACACTGCACATGTGTACTCCATGTGTACTACACTGTACACGTGTACTCCATGTGTGCTACACTGTACATGTGTACTCCATGTGCACTACACTGTACATGTGTACTCCATGTGTGCTACACTGCACATGTGTACTCCATGTGTACTACACTGTACATGTGTACTCCATGTGCAGTACACTGTACATGTGTACTCCATGTGCACTACACTGTACATGTGTACTCCATGTGTGCTACACTGTACATGTGTACTCCATGTGTACTACACTGTACATGTGTACTCCATGTGTACTACACTGTACATGTGTACTCCATGTGTACTACACTGTACATGTGTACTCCATGTGCACTACACTGTACATGTGTACTCCATGTGCACTACACTGTACATGTGTACTCCATGTGTACTACACTGTACATGTGTACTCCATGTGCACTACACTGTACATGTGTACTACACTGTACATGTGTACTCCATGTGTACTACACTGTACATGTGTACTCCATGTGTACTACACTGTACATGTGTACTCCATGTGCACTACACTGTACATGTGAGCTCCATGTGTACTACACCTGTAATGTGTTACTCCATGTGTACTCACTGTGCATGTGTTGTGTACTCTATGTGTACTACACTGTACCTGTGTACTCCATGTGTACTACACTGTACATGTGTACTCCATGTGTACTACACTGTACATGTGTACTTCATGTGTACTACACTGTACATGTGTACTCCATGTGTACTACACTGTACATGTGTACTCCATGTGTACTACACTGTACATGTGTACTCCATGTGTACTACACTGTACATGTGTACTCCATGTGTACTACACTGTACGTGTGTACTCCATGTGTACTACACTGTACATGTGTACTCCATGTGTACTACACTGTACATGTGTACTCCATGTGTACTACACTGTACATGTGTACTCCATGTGTACTACACTGTACATGTGTACTCTATGTGTACTACACTGTACATGTGTACTACACTGTACATGTGTACTCCATGTGCACTACACTGTACATGTGTACTCCATGTGTACTACACTGTACATGTGTACTCCATGTGTACTACACTGTACATGTGTACTCCATGTGTACTACACTGTACATGTGTACTCCATGTGCACTACACTGTACATGTGTACTCCATGTGTACTACACTGTACATGTGTACTCCATGTGTACTACACTGTACATGTGTATTCCATGTGTACTACACTGTACATGTGTACTCCATGTGCACTACACTGTACATGTGTACTCCATGTGTACTACACTGTACATGTGTACTCCATGTATACTACACTGTACATGTGTACTCCATGTGTACTACACTGTACATGTGTACTCCATGTGTACTACACTGTACATGTGTACTCCATGTGTACTACACTGTACATGTGTACTCCATGTGTACTATACTGTACATGTGTACTCATGTGTACTACATGTACATGTGTACTACATGTAAGTGTACTACACTGTACATGTGTACCCATGTGTACTACACTGTACATGTGTACTCTATGTGTACTACACTGTACATGTGTACTACACTGTACATGTGTACTCCATGTGCACTACACTGTACATGTGTACTCCATGTGTACTACACTGTACATGTGTACTCCATGTGCACTACACTGTACATGTGTACTACACTGTACATGTGTACTCCATGTGTACTACACTGTACATGTGTACTCCATGTGTACTACACTGTACATGTGTACTCCATGTGCACTACACTGTACATGTGAGCTCCATGTGTACTACACTGTACATGTGTACTCCATGTGTACTACACTGTGCATGTGTTGTGTACTCTATGTGTACTACACTGTACCTGTGTACTCTATGTGTACTACACTGTACATGTGTACTCCATGTGTACTACACTGTACATGTGTACTCCATGTGTACTACACTGTACATGTGTACTCCATGTGTACTACACTGTACATGTGTACTCCATGTGTACTACACTGTACATGTGTACTCCATGTGTACTACACTGTACATGTGTACTCCATGTGTACTACACTGTACGTGTGTACTCCATGTGTACTACACTGTACATGTGTACTCCATGTGTACTACACTGTACATGTGTACTCCATGTGTACTACACTGTAACTCTATACACTGGATTGTTATTCCTATGGTATTAAATTTGGGCTGTGTGGTGCCAATTTACAATTTTTGGGGCAATATTATTAAAATTAATTTCTAAAAAATCTATGTCAAATATATTTTCTAACAGGTTTGGAAAGATTTGAAAACATAATAAATAAGAGAAAATAATAAGAGAAAAGAATAAGAGAAGAATAAGAATAAAAAATAAAATAAAATTGAGGGTGTATGATTTTTCCTTAGTAGTATAACGAGAAATTTTCTGTTTTTGGGAACATTCTCAAATTTTTTTTTTAATTACTCAATATCGACTTATTCGAGAGGCTTGAAATTTTCAAGATTTGTGTAATGTATCGTGGGCAAGATTACTGAGCTTATTAGCAGGTGTAGGTGAGTGCCATGTGCACAGGGTGAGTGCCATGTGCACAGGGTGATTGCCATGTGCACAGGGTGGGTGCCATGTGCACAGGGTGAGTGCCATGTGCACAGGGTGAGTGCCATGTGCACAGGGTGGGTGCCATGTGCACAGGGTGGGTTCCATGTGCACAGGGTGAGTGCCATGTGCACAGGGTGGGTGCCATGTGCACAGGGTGGGTGCCATGTGCACAGGGTGGGTGCCATGTGCACAGGGTGAGTGCCATGTACACAGGGTGGGTGCCATGTGCACAGGGTGGGTGCCATGTGCACAGGGTGAGTGCCATGTGCACAGGGTGAGTGCCATGTGCACAGGGTGGGTGCCATGTGCACAGGGTGAGTGCCATGTGCACAGGGTGAGTGCCATGTACACAGGGTGAGTGCCATGTGCACAGGGTGAGTGCCATGTGCACAGGGCGAGTGCCATGTGCACAGGGTGAGTACTATGTGCACAGGGTGAGTACTATGCACACAGGGTGAGAGCCATGTGCACAGGGTGAGGACTATGTGCACAGGGTGAGTACTATGCACACAGGGTGAGTGCCATGTACACAGGGTGAGTGCCATGTGCACAGGGCGAGTGCCATGTGCACAGGGTGAGTACTATGTGCACAGGGTGAGTACTATGCACACAGGGTGAGAGCCATGTGCACAGGGTGAGTACTATGTGCACAGGGTGAGTACTATGCACACAGGATGAGTACCATGTACACAGGGTGAGTGCCATGTGCACAGGGTGAGTGCCATGTGCACAGGGTGAATGCCATGTGCACAGGGTGAGTACTATGTGCACATGGTGAGTACTATGCACACAGGGTGAGTGCCATGTGCAC